GAATTACTGAAATCTAAAACATAATTCATAAGGAATACAGAAAGAAAGTAGAAGTGAGGATATCAGTTTAAATATCATAATTTAACAATTTGATATTTGGAAACAAATGAGTTAAAATAATAAATCCCAGGTATGAATCTTTACATTTCATTTTCTTTTTAAGAATTTTGATTTGGTGACATGCTAGTTTAGCCAACAGCCATTATTATGCTGCCATTTCCTGTTTCCTTTATTAACTAAGAATATCATGATGACGAATCTTATTTCTTATAGAAAGTTAGCTGAGTATTTTCCTTTCCCTTGCTAGAACTGCAGAATTGAGATAATTCAGAAACCTGACACTCTGATATGAGTTCTAGTGCTAGGAGGATGAGTGTCCTTCACTTTGATCTTTGCTAACTTTAAGTGACACTTCTCCTTACCCCTCATCAGCTCTTCCCCAAAGCATCCTGTCTTTTCACAAGCTGTGAATGAGAACTCTGACTGGCAGCACCAATATTGTTTGCTGAGTAATAGTTGCTTTCAATGTGCAGCTTCAGGATAATTTACTAATTAAAATTGCTTTACCACTGAGAGGTCCCCTGAGGTATGCCCTTGTTTATCTGGATTAGACCATGAAATCATATTTGAATCAATCCTTAGACCATAATTTGCTGCTAATCCAATGAAAAGTTGGAAATAATATATGGATAAATTCACAAAATTTTATCGGCACATATGTAAAATTAGGTTGATCATAAACCATAAACACAAGCACAGATAAACAATCTGAAACAGGAAGACAAAGCCTATATGTGGAGCAATGGAACTATATGACGAACCTTTAAATATGCTACTGATAAAGAGTGAAGAGTAAACTTTAAAGAAACTGCATTTTCTAGTCAATTTGTATGTATAATCATAAAGTTCTGGAGTTATAATATCATAGCCTTTGGGCCTTCATTAACATATCCATGCTTTACAAAATCATCACTCAAAGAAACCAATAAAATAACTTAGGCTGACTTTCCCACAGTTTAATATTGTGACATACTCAGATTCTCAGTGTTACATTTGTTTGAAGTTGTGACATCATGAAAAATTATTGTTTGTGAGTACCTGTGTATGTGTGTGTGTGTGTTAGGAAGTGAGGATAAGAAAGACTCAGTAACTTTGATTGCTTCAGTGTAGCTGGCAACATTGAAAGAAAATGTCAAGCATATAAAAGATGAGAACATAAAGAATGTCACATAAGGCTGGGCTCAGTGGCTCACGCCCGTAATACTAGCACTTTGGGAGGCCAAGGTGGGCAGATCACCTAAGGTCGGGAGTTCAAGACCAGCCTGACCAACATGGAGAAACCCCATCACTACTAAAAATAAAAAATTATCCGGGAGTGGTGGCACACGTCTGTAATCCCAGATACTTGAGAGACTGAGGCAGGAGAATCACTTGAACCCAGGAGGTGGCGGTTGCAGTGAGCCAAGATCGCATCACTGCACTCCAGCCTGGGCAGTAAGAGTTAAACTGTCTCAAAATAAAATGTCATATGAATGATTCAAAATCAGTATAAAAAATAAAACTTAAATATCAAACAGCTAAACAATTCTTCCTATTTATATTAATTGTCCAAGACATTGAATATCCAGTATCCAACGTAAAAACCATCATGGAGCAGATTCTCAGAAAGATTTGAAGAACTATGTGGGGAAAGGATGGATGGGCAAATGAAGGAAGAATGGGTAACATAAAGAGTTGGTGGTGTAGGGTTCTGGTCTGTTTTATTCATAGTTAATAACTCCCGTTCAGGGCAAATAAGAGAAGACAAGAAAGTAAGGCCTGAATATTTCAGTTTTAAAACATGGTATGTTATAAGATAATTGGTAATTAAAATCATAAGAAAGTGAATGAGTAGATAAGACTTAATATTTTTGTATTGAAACACTTCTATCATAGATTTCTAGTTGTCTGTATTATTTTCTATAACTATGCAATAACAAGAGTTCCCTTATAATTTTAAAAAGAAATAACGGTGTAGATATGTAAATGACAACTCAATAACACATTGTCTTACTTCTTTCCCAATTAAGGGGATGAAAAAATAGTCTCTATAGGAGAATCGTAACACAGCCTACTTGATGTAAGGGGAGATAAACAAAAATACAAGTAAATTGTCATGTTTAGGTTGTCGACTTAATGATAATTGGCTCATGATATTTCACAAGTGTTTGGGGGCAGATTTCTCATTTACTCTATTTATAAGATTGATGTCCTGGATACTTAAAATCAAAAGTGTATGTTTATCCAAAGCAAAATAAAAGAAGTTCCTTTCACCATTAATATTTATTCTGCAGCTTAAATGCAGCAGGATTCTTCCAAATATCAGAGCAAAAAAACCTGGGCAGAACATGACAGCCTAAGAGAAAAATAATGCTGAATTAGCACTTTCTGAGAAGGCCTTAGGGAATACACATATATTATCTTTTGTAGTCAGTGACAAAAAGAGATTTGAGAAATAAACATGAGGGTTTTTATGACTATGAAATAAATATATTTTCTAACATAGAAAAGTGACCTATGCTCTAAAATAATACTAATTATATTTTCAAAGAGATGGATGTCTTTATGTGTTTATCTGCATATACCTTGAAACTAATGACCTGTAAATTACTATGGTATCTCCTGACATGTGAACTAGACACATGTAGAGATTCTAGATATATAAATTAATCTTTACTCTAGTTAATCTTTACTTTTTCAAAATCCAAATATCCTAAGTCTCTTTCAAATATAAGGTTCACTCAGATTTATTCTGTAATTCATAATTTCCTCTTGTGAATAAGAGATGTATACATGCCTTGAAGGTTTCATGGAATCCTTTTCAGATAGAGCCTGATCTCAAATGAGGCATATGTTAAATCTTCTTACACAAGGCCAGGCTCTCATCTTCCTCTGCACCCCACAGTGCTCATTCAAGTGAACAGTCATCTTTGAAGGCAATTGGAGCTTCTTGCTTGGCTGAGCATCATGGAGCTTGGAGGAAGATAAAAAAGGAACTACAGACTTTTAACTAGAATTCTGCTAGCAGGACACACTGAAACCAGCCTGCCAGACCACTATGGGATAAGTGTACTTGCCCTTTAGCCATATACAAAGTGTGATATATATCAATTGGCCTACAATAGTTTCTATCTAACAAATAAGAAAAGTATTTCCAATCATATCCAAGATTCATTTTATTGAAATTCTCTTCTGAAAAATTTGCCTGACTACTTAAATAATTATGCTATTTACACTCTGTATAAATTTATCTGTCTTGGGATATGTACAAATAAGACACTCACTTTATTAGTTTTCCTTAAAATAGCTTATAGCAATGTCATCAGGTTAAGAGAGCATTAATAGCAGTTTGTTATGACTTCCAGGAAAGCTGGAGGTTGAACATGGACACTCTTGTATCATAATCAGCAATTTTCACATCTCTTCCCAAACAGCAATGTGCCTTTTTTGTTCAAAACAAATATTCAAACACCTCACCCAATACTAATGAATATGAATGAGGATTAAGGAGTTGTTCACATGATTCTGATACATAATTAAGTTTAGAAAGCACTGTAGACAACAGCTTACTTGCAACAGTATGAATCCTAGAAACTTACATGAATTCAAGACAAAAATTCACAGCTTATTTTCTAAAAAAGGAAAATGTGACTTATTTCTCCTTTAAACTAAGATCTATATTCTCCATGGACAATAAACTCCTTAGAGAAACATTCATAGTTTAAACATTTTTAGCTTGTATGTGTCCACTCTATGGACACACCTATCCTGCCATCCCTACATAATAAAAGGTAGTCTGTTTATACAAACTTTGAAGCCCTCAGTGAAAAAAACCTGGCTTAACAGTCAACATTGTACTCTTATTAATTTCCTATACCAATAATATCATTTTGCCAAACTAGAATGCTAAGGATATTTCTTTCTTTACTTTTTTAAGTTGGAGTGTCACTCCTGTCGCTCCTGCCAGAAGGCAGAGGTGCAATCTTGGCTCACTACAACTTCCACCTCCCAGGTTCAAACAATTCTCCTGCCTCAGCCTCCCAAGTAGCTGGAATGACAGGGGCCCACCACCACACCCACCTAATTTTTGTATTTTTAATATAGACAGGGTCTCACCATATTGGAAAGGCTGGTCTTGAACTCCTGACCTCAGGTGATCCACCCACCTCCGCCTCCCAAAGTGCTGGGATTACAGGAGTGAGCCACACTGCACCCGACCAGAAGGCTAAGAACATTCCATATTTAACTAAACCTATGCTTTTTCCCTTATTGTTTTCTTACCCTATCAGGTACACATATTGCCCAACTTTCTGACCAAATCCTGTTAGTTCATGACGGGCCATCTCAAATTCTTCCTGAACAAAGAGGACTTCCTTGATACCTCCATTATGTATTGTTTCTGTGACTTATTAACTTGCTTTGCTTTTCCTATGATATGATTTTGTAATATATCTCCGTGGCACCTGATGTAGTCATGTAGTCTATTTTTTAATCTGGTTATCTTATATCCTCTGCGGTCCTCTGCATGTGCTTTCCCATTGTATGAGCTCCATATTATTTTTAAATTTAATTATTGAGTTTTTTTTTAGACTAACATTTGCATCCTTCATGGAAGAGCAAATACACACTGGAAAGATTAGTTTACTTATGGTTTTGAGCAATATTAGATTAGGGTAGGAAATTATTCTTCACTAAGGGTAAGTAATGAAATGATTTTCTAAAACAATCCACTAAAGAGAGACATAGACAGGATCCAAATAGCCTCAAATACTCAAGTCAAAGATTTCTCCTTCAGGCCCATTTTTGAGACCTTGGGTGAAACTCAGGAGGTTACAGCTGACTTAGAGGCCTGAAGCAAGTGCACAGATACTGTTGCAAATGAATCCAAGGCTAAGAACTGAGCACGCCACTGTGTGTGAGTGCAGGAGCCGTGACCAGAAGCCAGCCTTAGTCAAAACCAAGGACTGGTAGTCATGGCAACAGGGGCACATCCAGAAGTCAGAGCCGGAAAACAGAGCAGGTCAAATGTGGAACTGGCTTTTGGCTAGAGTGGAGAGGTGATGCCAGAAGACCAGACAAGGTAGAGGGCCCAGGGACACTCCATAGTGCCCAGGCAGCAAGGGAAGTCCTGGTGTCCAGGCCAGATGGCATTCTGCTGGATGTCTGGTCACGATTCCAGCTGGCTCAAAGTACCAGTCGGTCCTCATGCCACAGATTCCTCTACCTGGCTCTGATATTCTGTTTTTTTTTTTTTTTTTTTTTTTTTTTTTTTTTTTCTTTCTCCCCATAATTCAGATGCCCTCAAAGCAGCCTCATGAAGCTATTTTGCCAGAAGCTCTGTAAGGTGACCGGATTGTAGAAATGCCAGAGGTAAGTTAAAAGACAGGTTTTTCTCTTTAAACTACCTAAAAGGAGACAATAAATATTTCAGTATCATAACAAAACAGTCCAAGAATTTTGTTGCACTATCCTGGGCAATTCCAGATGAGTTTCCAGAAGGATTCTTGTTCAATGTGTCAGAAATACTGTATTGTTAATAATACTGATTCAAAATAGACTATTGTGAGAATCAGAGATTTTCACCTTCCATTAACTATTTCCATATAATGGCTGACATTTATTGATACTGCTTTGACTTGCTATATTTGAGGTATCAGGCAAAAGTATTTGAATATATAAAATATATTAACAGTTGTATTTGGCTTACCAACTCTCTGAAGTAGGTTATTTTATCACTCTCCTCCTCTTCTATATTTAAGTAAAATAAAACCTAGATACTTCTGTACCAAATAAATATGGCATTAAGACATAAAAAAGGAATCTGTAATGCTAGCCTTAGATTTGAAATAGAAATAATTTATTTAGGGACAACACATTTTAGAACTTGTAGGGTCATTGTCAGTACATTTAATCTAAAAATGTAAACAGAGCGTGTTGAGAAAAGAAAGGGAGATAAAAAATCTGGTGATATAGATCTAAGAGTGGACACAAAATGCCTGTGCCTAAGATAGTCCCTGGTTTGAGGATTATGGAAGATGGAAGGGACGGAAGGCTGGAAGGAGAGAGGCATGGAGAGAAAGGAAGTTAGTTGAGAGTGTGTCATCCCTGTGGAAGCTCTTTCCAATCACAAATATGGTGGTTTATTGTTTATGGGAATCTTGTTATTTCTAAACATTTGGATATTTTAGAAAACATCCATAGTAATGTAAATATAAATATGCTGAAATAAAATTTTATAGAATGGATGTTTACAAAATCTTAAAATTTTATTTCCTTATTTGTTCTCTCAGTGCCTTTTGGGAATCTATTGAAATCCCTGCAGCATTATGCAAATGAGCACAGAAAACTGCAAGTAATACACCTAGACCCACGGACCTAGTGGAGCTGATGAATCATAGGTTAAGAACTCCAAATTTATCATGTTTTATTACTTAGTAGCTTTTATAACTCCTTTTGAATTATGAAATCTTTCTAGGCTCTGTCTAGATGGCCATAATTGAACTTGATTTTTGTTGCCATAGAGGACCACCATCATTTTACTCCCCTAAATACATAATTTATTCCTGACATCTAAAATATACATCTAGTGCTATGCACAGCATTGCGTTATACATTACTATACCTCCCCAATATAATTTGAAGTCAACCTATACTTAGCTTCACAACAAAATCAATCTTAATAAGTATTTGTCTATGTAATATTAACTAAGTATTGGGGAAAAAAACCCTTCAAATGTGGTCACGAAGCATAGATTTAAATAACTGTAATTTAAGCTTGTTCTAAAGATTTATGACCAATAGCAAATACAAAGAAATATGTATTTCTTTGTAAATCTAATTTTACAGTGGAATAAGCATAATGAGTAAAATCCACTGAATGATTTGAAACAATATGAGCTTTGGGAGCTTGGGAATTAAATTACTTATTTGTTTCTCTGTCTCTTTAGATTCTACAGTTTTAATTCCTAGTGCCCCAAACTGAGTAAGGCAGATTAGTGTGATCATTTTTCTGTCTCTTCCTTTAGGACAGTTTGAAAAGGTGAGTGACAAATATATAACCAAAACATTGGCAAACCTTTCTTATAATTAAAGGCATGGCATTTTTGATGGCATACAAAAATTTGTCAACAAATTTCATATTCAGTCACTTTTTTCTGAGAGTTTTTCTAACCTTTCTTTCCCATTAATCTCTCCTACTCTTTAGGAGCCCAAATGCCACAACATTTTGTTTTGTTCATCAGTGCCACATCTGTAATGGCACCTAAAAAATGCTCTCTACTGAAGGACCCTGACCCTGAAATACTGGTATATCTTTTATTACTGTCATCCAAACTTCATTCATAAGAGGATTCACTCATTCTTCATTTATTCACTGGAAAGCTAAGCAATCTAAATAGCCCAGTTGTTTGATTTAAGCAATTCATAGTGAGATATAAATTTCTTGGTGAAATATACATAGTAATATGCAGTTGTGATAGAGACAGCCCTGTAAAAATTTCAAGAGAATCTGGCTTTCATCGGTGAAAATTTGTGGAGCAACTTATTATTGAAAATCATTTCTTCTCTGAAGAATCTCTCTTTCACTTCTTTGCAAAGATACATGTTGCAAAGATATATGCAAATATATAGATTTAGTATGCATAAATCAGCTCATTATAATACAGAGGTATTTGTATTCTTAGCCCCAATTATTTTTAAATCTAGAGTTTTTAACAGGTTTTACTCTTTCATAGTAATATTATGGTCTCAGTTTTGTTTTTAATTATTTCTACTCCATTGTTTTAGGATAACTAATTTGACAGATATAAAATTTTCATACTCTCTAGGAAAATATTTCACCTAAATATGAGATTTATTTAATCTCATGTTGCATTTGGCTTTAAATTTGACTTAACCTAACTGAATCTATTTTAATTGTTTTACATCTTACAATACGCAAATGCCGTATCTACATATGCTCTTGTGCATTTACGGCTACATAATGAATTTTGTTTCCAGGGTTTCACCTAGAGAGATAAAATTTAGTTCCTAGTTGGTCTGAGACATAAACAATAAAGATGTAAAGATAACACTGCCTATCTCTTCATTTCTGTCTCTCCATATCTATTGTTTTCTTTAAGAAATATCTCACAGTAACTTTCCAACCTCAGCAAACAAGTATGAAAACTCAAGTTGTTTTCACTCTGAAAATGAACCAGTTTCCAGCCATTGTGTTTTATGTCGGAACTGTCTAACTTAAATTGCATGTCCTTGGGGCAGAGAGCAGCTTTCTATTTTTTTTTTTTTTTTAACAGAGCCAAGAATCCTGTCACTGTTCTACAAAACAATAAATAATGAAGTAAATTGAAGATGTGTGAATTGTGCCAGCTTGACAGAAAATTGAGCCAATGTTCTCGGAGGTGTTACAACATTATTTCCCAACAAGCAGCCGGAGCCTCTCTTCAGAACCTCAGATACCTAAACCGGAATGGAGGATAAGAAAGTGGAAGTAAAGACAAAAGAGAATATTTATTTGGGATTAATTTGTAGTTACCTACTTGAGCTGACAGACCTGTACTAAAGAGACAAAGGAAATGATGGCTCCTTTAACCATCAGGCATATTGTATGAACATCATTCTCTTTCATTCCACATTGGGAAAAACAAATCCTTTCCCCACATTTGACTTTGTGTATAAAGTGTGTTAATAAAACTAAATGTGTGTTTACAAATGTGTTTTAATAAAAAGTAATGTATCTAATAAAACTAAACATAGGTGATCATATTTGTTCAAAAATTCTTGGTTTTTCTTGTAAACAAGGCATAAAGAGCTTTGTGCACTTCAGTCTCCACCAAAAGGTACCTTCTATCTTTTGGTAGAGGTACCTTTTGTTAGTTTATATATAGAGGAAGAGGACTTCGTTGAACACTATATATAAACTAACTATGGTCCTCTAGCTCCTCCACAAAGTCACTCTTCCTCTATTCTGTGTTGTTTTCCTTATCAAATTCACCCCATCTGAAATTATGTACTCAGTTCTTTTTTTAAAAAATTGTATCACATTATGAGCATATATATTTCTGTGAGGGAAATGTCTTTGTATTGTTTTGCTAGCACCTAATAAAATTCTGCAACATAGTGGATTTCAGTCAATATTTGTAGAAAAGTAAAAGAAATACAACTTTAAAATAAACTAAGTGGTGGCGGGGCATGGTGGCTCACGCTTGTAATGCCAGCATTTTGGGAGGCCAAGGTGGGTGGATCACGAGGGTCAGGAGACTGACACTATCCTGGTTAACACAGTGAAACCTCGGCTCTACTAAAAATACAAAAAATAATTAGCCAGGCATGGTGGTGTGCGCCTGTAGTCCCAGCTACTCAGGAGGCTGAGACAGTACAATTGCTTGAACCCAGGAGGTGGAGGTTGTAGTGAGCCAAGACTGCACCACTGCACTCCAGCCTGGTGACAGAGCAAGACTCCATCTCAAAAAGAAAAAAAGTAAAAACAAAAATAAATAAACTAAGTGTCTTAAGTAATCACTACTTTGGTAACCATAATAGAATGTCAGTAATATCACCAATATCAATGAGATATCCCTTATAAAAAATATGTCACAGAGTATTTAGTCAATATATGTTGAAAGAAAAAAAAATTGAGAATTGAGATAAAAGCTGTATGAACAGCATCATCTTAATTATAAATTGTGATCCCAAAATTTAAAGAAACATCTTTTGAAATACAGAAACTTACCAACTTGGTGGCTTGTAGTTTTTAAAAAGTATGTATATCTGTATATTTATACTTTACAGCAGATGATTGGTACTCAGTTAAATGAGAAGAGGAAGAAAAGTGTTACAAAAGATGAAAATTGTAGAACACTAAAACATAAAAACATATTCTACCTAATTTTGCCTGTTTCTTACATTCACAGGTACTGATGAAATATCTAGAAAAACTTCACATTATGTATTTCTATGATTTCCATAGGTTATGGATTGAATTGCCTTCCCCTAGTCCTAACCCCTCGTACCTGTGAGATGTGAACTTAGTTGGTAATAGAGACTTTGCAGATGATTAAATAAAGATACGATCATTAGGGTAGGCCCTTATCTAACATGCCCATGTTCTTATTTTTAAAAAAAGGTAGGGGGAGTTGGGTATTATGGTTTGGCTGTGTCTTCACCCAAATCTCATTTTGAAATGTAGCTCCACAAGTTATGGAGGGACCTGGTGGGAGGTAATTGAATCATTCGGTGTGTTTTTCCCATGCTGTTCTTGTGATAGTGATATGTCTCAAGAGATCTGATGGTTTTGTAAAGTGCGGTTCCCTTGCACATGCTCTCATGCCATCTGCCATGTATGATGTCACTTTGCTTCTCCTTTGCCTTCTGCCATGATATTGAGACTCCCCAGCCATGTAGAACTGAGTCCATTAAACCTCTTTTTCTTTATAAATTACCCAGTCTTTGATATTTCTTCATAGCAGCATGAAAATGGAATAATACAGTAAATTGGTACTGGTAGAGCAGGGTAATGCTATATGGATACCTGAAGTATGGAAGCAACTTTGGAACTGGGTAACAGGCAGAGGTTGGAACAGTTTGGAAAGATCAGAAGAAGACAGAAAATTGTGGGAAAGTTTGGAACTTCCTAGAGACTTATTGAATGGCTTTGACCAAAATGCTCACAGTGATACAGATAATGAAGTCCAGGCTGAGGTGTTCTCAGATAGAGATGAGGAACTTACTGGGAGCTGGGATTAAGGTAACTCTTGCTATGTTTAAGCAAAGAGACTGGTGGCATTTTGCCCCTGCCCTAGAAATCTGTCAAATTTTGAACTTGAGAGAATTGATTCAGGGTATCTGGCACAAGAAATTTCTAAGCAGTAAAGCATTCAAGAGGTGATTGAAGTGCTCTTAAAAGCATTCAGTTTTATATATTCAAAAAGATATGGAACTTTGGATTGAAACTTATGTTTAAAGGAAAAGCAGAGCATAAAAGTTTGTAAAATTAGCAGCCGGACAATACAATAGAAAAGAAAAACCCATTTTCTGAGCAGAAACTTAATCTGGCTGCAGATATTTACATAAATAATGAGGAGGCAAGTGTTAATCGCCAAAATAATGGGGAAAATATTGCCAGGGCATGTTTGGGGTTATCACAGCAGCCCCTGCCATCATAGGCCTGGAGACCTAGGAGGAAGAAAATGGTTTTATGAGCGGAGTCCAAAGTCTTGCTGCTATGTGCAGTCTTGGAACTTGGTTCCCTTTGTCCCAGCCATGGCTAAAACAGGAAAACATACAGCTCAGGCTGTGGCTTCAGAGGTACAAGCCCCAGACCTTAGCAGCTTACACATGGCATTGGGCCTGTAGGTCCACAGAAGTCAAGAACTGAGGTTTAAGAATCTCCATCTAGATTTCACAGGATGTATGGAAATGCCTTGATGGTTAATTGGCCAGGAAGTGGTGTGCTGCAGGGGAAGAGCCCTCATGGAGAAACTTTGCTAAGACAGTGTATAAGGAAAATGTGGAGTGGGAGCCCCCATACAGAGTCTCCACTGGGGCACTGTCTAATGAAGCTGAGAAGCGGGCCACCATCCTCCAGACCCCAGAATGAGCTTACACCATGTGCCTGAAAAAGCAGCAGACATTCACCATTAGCCTGTGAAAGCAGCTGGGGGTGGGGGGCGGGGTGTACCCTTCAAAGCTACAGGGGCAGAGCTGCTGAAGACCATGAAAACACACCTCTTGCATCAGTGTTACCTGCATGTAAGACATGCAGTCAAAGGAGATCATTTGGGCACTTTTAGATTTGATTGTCCTGATGGATTTCAGACTTGCATGGGACTTATAGCCCCTTCATTTTGGCCAATCTCTCCCCTTTGGAACAGGTGTATTTACTCAATGCCTGTGCTCCCATTGTATCTAGGAAGTACTATTAACTAACTTGCTTTGATTTTACAGGCTCATAGGTGGAAGGGACTTGCCTTGTCTCAAATGAGACTTTGGAATGTGGACTTTTGAGTATATGCTGAAATGAGTGAACACTTTGGGGGGCTGTTGGGAAGGCATGATTGCTTTTGAAATGTAAGGACATGAGATTTGAAAGGAATCAGGGGCAAAATGATGTGGCTCTGCTGTGTCTCCACCCAAATCTTATCCTGAATTTTAACTCCCATAATTTCCACGTATCATGGGAGGGACCTGGTGGGAGGTAACTGAATCATGGGGGTGGGGTTTTCCATGCTGTTCTCCTAATAGTGAATTTGTCTCATAAGATCTGATGGTTTTATAAAGGGAAGTTCCCCTACACATGCTCTGTTACTTGCTGCCATGTAAAACATACTTTTGCTTCTCCTTCATTCCTTCTTTACCTTCTTCCATGATTCTGAGGTTTCCCCAGCCATGTGGAGCTATTAGTTCATTAAACCTCTTTTTCTTATAAGTTACCTAGTTATGGATATTTCTCCATAGCAGTATGAAAATGAACTAATATATTGGGACACAGAGACAGACACACAGAGATATGCACAGAGGAAAGGTGATGTGAGTGCACAGAAAGAATACCACCTACAACCAGGGAATGTCTGAGGCTACCAGAAGCTGGCGCAGAGGCAGGGAACAGATTCTCCCTCACAGACCACAGAAGGCAGCAACTCTGTGGACACATTGATTTCTGACTTATAGCATCCAGAACTATAAAACAATACATTTTTGTTGTTTAAGATGCCCAAACTTGGTACTTTGTTATGGTAGTTCTGGCAAACAAACATACCTTTTTTTCTCAATTTCAATGACTGAAGTCACTACATAGACCCAATATCTAGATGTTGGCACAATTAAGTGACGTTATATTCCACAGCATTCATTCAAGCAATTAACAGTATTTAGTAACATTTAATTCAATTATTTACTTAAATAATTATATTTTTGCAATTAATTTGTCTTCCTTGTATCAGTCATTCTCTAGCTACAAAATTAGTTTATGATATCATTGTATTGCTACCAACACATTTAGGAAATTGTAATAGGGCCTAAAATTTGCAAATATTATTTTTAATTTTATTTACACATTATACAAAATTTAGTATTAATATGTTTATTCACATAAAGTGGGGAGTTAACATAATTTTTGAATCCCCTTCAAATATCAGATAACAGATTTTCCTACCATCAAACTAGATGTTTAATAAAAATAATATAGATGACATTTTAAAAAATCAATGGAGTTAATTTGGGAAGAGTGATTTACCAATCTGTACTTATAGCCATAATAAGTGAATATTTTAAATAAACCTTGTCTGATTAAAGTATGAAAGGAATTTTCACTTTTATTTTGCTTTAACCTTAAAGACATATTCTGTTTTGACTTTTCATAGTATAAACTGAAGAAAGAAATTTATATTGATAGCATTTATGCACATAGAGATAATTTACACTTTATATTGTATTGTGTAAAAAAACTGACTTTACATGAAAATCAAATAGGAGAGTTTAAAACTAATGTAAATGATATCTGTGAGGAAACTATTTCTTAACTTGTGCTGTACTCTGGAATTATAGAGCCTACAGAAAACCTTCCATTCGTAGTTTTTTCTCTACATCTTATAAAATTGAAATTAGAGCTTTTCACAAAATGGGAGGTCCATCGAAGCAATATAAAAGCAATAAGAATTAGAACATAGAGAAATATTTTTTTATCTACTTTATGGCAATTATTGATATTTAAGTTTAACTTGAACATCTGTTAGAATAAATTCATGCCTTTAGTGTAATTCAGCTTAATTTAATTAGTATTCATTTGATTTCTCTAAAATACTCTAAACATTACAGATTAAAACTCCATAAACAGATTTCCTATTATGTATATATGAAAATCCACATTGAGTTTAGATGTAAAAGTATTTATGCTTCTGATGGAATGAAGAGAACTACCATTAAATTTACTTTTCCAGAAATATATCTGAGTATGTTTCATTTTAAATCAGTCCTGATAATCTTTTAATGTAAATAATGTCATGATTTGTGTTTTTAATATATGAGCCCAAGCATGTTTGTGGAGTTGGTTTAGTCTTACTTGAAAACTAGTTAGGGATTTGTGAGAATAAGAAATTTAAAATTTTGATGCCTCAGATTCCTTAACTGTAACATACAGTGAAGATTCTAAGATAAAAGCTTATACTTACATTTCGTAAATTTTTTTGAGTTTCAATTCTCTAAGCTAAAGAACAAAATCACTAAACACAACTGATAAAGAGCTGTGTGTTCTTTTCAGAAGAGTTCCCTGTGCCTTTGTCTATGATGTGATTTTTCAATTAAAGGTGTTTTTTTAATTGCAAATATCACTGTCATACAATTTACAATAATATTATTAAATAAGCAAAAGTTATGCATGTATGTCTGGCCCTCAAACTTACAAACTTAGCAGTATC